GCATGCAAGCCAGGAGGTGGATCTCTAATTCACCGAAAGTTATTGAAGCCATTCTATCGGAAGAACGCGCCACACACATCGTGATTAACAGCGGTGAAGACCCGATAACGAAGACGCTAGGAATTTCGTGGAACAGTACTGAAGACGTGTTTACCGTTGCCGCTTCTCCAGTTTCCCCGGTATTTCAGACAACTAAGCGAAACGTCCTGTGTTAAGTATGCTGGGATTCGTATGCCTCTACGTTATTGTGGCGAAAATGCTACTTCAGGAACCGTGGATGAGAGGCTACGACTGGGACGACGAAATTCAAGATGAAATAGCTAACAAAATCGGGGCTTGGTTCGAGCAATTGAAAAGTCTGCACGAGGTGACGAATCCCCAGTGTCTGCGAAGTCCAGAGCCTGTCAAGTCGAAGCACTTGTCGATGCCTCTCAACAAGCTTATGGTGAAGCAGTCTATATCCGCTGCGGACACGGTAACGATATTTGTAACCAGTCGGCTGCTTGCAGCAAAGAGTAAAGTGGCATCATTGAACCCGATGACAGTACCCGGGCTGGAACTCAAGGGAACGATTATGGGCTTGCGCTTAACACAGTCGTTGCTCACGCCCTAGAAGTACCAATGTAGGAAGTTACGTTATACTCTGAGAGTACAGATGTTCTATGGTGGATTCGAGGACGCGGCAAAGACTTCGACCGTACGTAGCCAACCGAATTGGTGAAATACAGACGTTCACTGAGCCATCGCAGTGGCAGGATCTCTCTAACGAAGAGAATCCAACCGATTTATGCACAAGAGGGGTTACCCCTTCAGAGTTAGTCAAATGTTCCTTGTGGTGTAATGGTCCTGACTGGCTGAAAGATGATTTCAGTAAGTGGTCAAAGATGAAATTCCCGGATAGACCTAGTGAAATGCCAGAGGTGAGAAACTCGATGAGGAAAGAAGACATGAATGCCTATGTAGCCATTAGGACGTGTAATCTCCAGAAAGGAACTGCACCTAAGCATAACAACACACTAAAAGAGTGGAGACTAGATCTGAAACGGTTTTCCGGTTGGACACGTTTGGATCGAGTACACGCGAGAGTGAGAAGAGTACTACAAGAATTGCGCGACGAGTACGCAGCTTTGAGCTTAGAGAGGTCGATACCAGAGAAAAGTCAGTTGATAAAGCTTCACCCGTGCATCGACGACGATAGCGTTATCCGCAGTGATGGTCGATTAAAGTTCTCAGGTTTTCTTCCATATGATACCAGATTTCTAATCATTCTGCCTCGTGGACACTGAGTGACGAAACTCATTGTGAAGCATTATCCTGGGAGAGGAAATCATGCCGCTGGCGTGAACTTCACTCTCTGCCAGTTGCGCGAGAGATTTTGGATCATCGCCGCGCGCGAGGAGATTCGCGAGTGGGATCATGAATGTAATGAATGTGAGAGAAGACGAAACAAGCCATCTTGTCAGATTATGGCCCCACTCCCGGAAATGAGGCTCCGTTTCAGCTTCAGACCCTTCGCCCAAACTGTTTAATGACGCGGAAAACCAGGACAGAAAAGGAGGCTGTGCCTTTTGACTTGCTTGGAAAGACGAGCAGTGAATTTAGAGGTGGTCTGGGGACTAGATACGTTCTTAAACGTCTTCGCCCGTTTTACCAGTTGTCGTGGAGGTCCTAAAGAAGTGACAAGCGACAGAGGCACAAATTTCGAGAGCGCCGTGGGCGAGTTAAAGAAACTAGTTAGCCAGTTAGACCGAAAACATCTTCAGAGCAAGACATTCGAACTTGGAGTGACAGGGAGATTCAATCCAGCAGCTGCCCCACATTTTGGAGGAGCCCATGAAGTAATGATAAAAGCTGTTAAGAAAGCCACTTACGCCGTGGAGGGAGAACGAGATGCGAGCGACGAGGAGCTGATCACCGCGTTCGCTGGGGTGGAGTCCTCTCTTAATTCACGTCCGTTGGTTTATCAGAGTTCAGATCCACGTGACGATGTTCCATTGACACCTAACCATTTCTTGCATGGCCAAATAGGGGGAAACTTCGCTCCTGAGGCCATTGCAACCACTACTTTGCATCCGCATGGCGAAAGTTTCAAGACATTATTTCACAAGTGTGGAGGAGATGGCTCAAGGAATTTGTTTTAGCCCCAAACAGTCGACCAACGTGGACTTCAGAAAGCCTAGACTTAAAAGCTAAGGATGTGGTTCTGGTGATTCAGCCCGATACTCCAAGAGGACGTTGGCCTTTAGGACGCGTAAGTGTATCCAGGACGAGATGGCCACAGCCACGTAGCTTAAGTTACTTGTGGTCTCAAGACTGTCATTAGACCGATTGATAAACTGGTTCCGCTCGGAATTAATTGTAAATTGATTGTAAATTAATTAATTAGAAATACACGAGGACTGCCTCCCAGTGCAGGGAGGGGGAAATGCTAAGAAGACGTTACCGAACTTGTGCGCGCGCGACTCGCCCGCGCGTGCTTTGAGATTATGTATATTTAACAATTATTCCACGAGCGCGCGTTGGATATGAGATGATGGATTATTCCACAAGCGCGCGTTGGATATGAGATGATAGATAGCCAACGAGGCGCGTAGCGCCGAGTTGGCTATAATCATCTCATATCCAACAAGCGCGAGTGGAATAATTGTTTTATTCAAAAAAAGCGCCCCCAAGATATTAGACAAATCTTCTCGACTTTATTTTGTTAGAAGACTCCGGATGTTACAATGTACAGATATTAGATTATGGTATATTGGCTCATATACCATAATGGCTAAGCCAATAAAAAGTCTTGAATTGCATTATCCAATGATCCAGTTTTTAATAATTAACAATTATTCCACGAGCGCGCGTTGGATATGAGATGATAGATAGCCAACGAGGCGCGTAGCGCCGAGTTGGCTATAATCATCTCATATCCAACAAGCGCGAGTGGAATAATTGTTTTATTAAAAAAAAAAAAAAAAAAAAAAAAAAAAAAAAAAAAGCGCCCCCAACATAGTAGACAAATTTTTTCGATTTTTTTTTGTAAGAAGAAACCGGATATTACAATGTACAGATATTAGATTATGGTA